ACCGCCGACCTGCCCGACCTACCCTGATTCGTCACTCGACCTCGTCATGAAACGACAACACGGAGGACGTACCGCTCCCGCCGCTAAAGCCACGCGCGAAGATGCCCCTCCCTTGAAAGTACACAAAGGGACCGTGGTCGACTTGTTCAAACGACTGCCCATCGACGTCACGTGTGAAAAATCCAAATGGGAAGTCTACTCGCAAGCCACGGCGGCCGTGGACCCTTTGGAAATCACCGTGGATCGAACCCGTACCTGGATCGACATGACCAAGATCCTGCTGGAATTCGATGTGGAATTTCATAACGGCGGCGCCGGTGCCGCACGTGCACTCCTGGGCAATACCTCGTCGGCCGTTCCCATTAACAACGTGGCTCACTCCCTCATCAAACAAATTCAACTGACTATTAACAAAGGAGCCGTAACCGTCAATGCCGATCACTACCATCTAGAAGCTTACTTCGATCGACTGCTGAACTATTCTGAAGAAGAAAAGAAATCCTTGCTGTCCCTGGAAGGATGGGCCACCGACACCCCCGACAAATTCGATCAGCTCAATCCCAACGACGTGGCCATTCCTAATCCCGCCGCATGGGGTGCAGCCGCTCCCACAGTCGGAGAAGTAGGAGACGCCATTCGTGCTGCATTCACTCGCGTCACGCCTAACCAAGGAGCCAAGGAACGCGTCGGATTGTGTTGCCAAAACCGTGCCGTCAAGTTCATTCTCAGACCCGTCATTCCCCTCTTCTCCAGCCAGCGCTACTTGACTCCTGGCTGCGAATTGAAATTTCGAATTCAATGGAATCCTCGAGAATTGGTCATGATGAATGGCGTCACTGTGGGAGCTACGGCCATTACCCAGCCTAACGCCTCCTACACCATAGTCAACTATTCTCCCAAGTTGCACATTCGTCACGTGGACGTCAACAGCGAATTGCACATCAAGATGGAAGCTGCCATGCTGGAAAACCAAGACATCGCCCTCTACCCTTACTTCACCAACAGAACCGTCACCCACACCGTTCCCG